CTGTTGCGAATTCAAGGGGGAATAATATTAGTATTCTTCTTGGATATGGAAATGGAAATTTTTCAAAACTAGTAAATTATTCTACTGGTCTTTATTCAGCTCCTAAATTCATTGCTGTTGGAGATTTCAATGATGATAAACAAGTTGACATTGTTGTAGCTAATTCTAACACAAGCAATATTTTAATTTTTCTTGGAAATGGAAACGGAACTTTTACAATTTTACAAAATTATTCAATGGGACAAAGCTCTGAACCATCTGCTATTGCTATTGCGGACTTGAATAAAGACAATCTAATGGATATTGTTGTAACTAATAGTGGCGCCAATGCTGTACTTATTTTCTTCGGATTAGGCAACGGAACATTTTTTAATCCAAAATCATATTCTCTTGCTTATGGATCTCGCCCAGCATCCGTTGCTATTGCAGATTTTAACAATGATACTTTGCTGGATATCGTTGTTGCCAATTATGGTTCTGGTTATGTAGAAGTACTCGTGCAGACTTGTTAACTATAGATTTAAAGACTTGAACATCTTCTTTGATTGTACATACATTTATATTCAATTATTTTTTTTAATCAAAAAATGGACTTGTGAGTCTGTATATATATTTATATGAACGTTTCAAGTAAATAAGACAGAAAATCGAAAGACGTTTGTCGATTTTTTAATTGTTTAAATAAAAGTTCTCTGTGAATAGTTACATATGAAGATGGTTATTAACACGTATTTTAAATATCTAGCATGGGAGATAAATTCTAGGTTCATATCATATAAGGAAATGGACGTAGGAAGCATATTTCGGAAGCATGTAATTTTGTAGTAAAATGTCAATTGTTCTTAATCACTATTTGAGTATTTAGCAGTGACTTCTAGCAATATTTGTGGTAAAAGAAAAATAGATGTAATAATTTGTAACTGTTGTATCTTTTATAATTTTTTTTCAAATAGACCTGCAGCATTTTTGATCAAAGAACTGAACTGGGTATGGTAAACAGGTGTTTTTGAAAGTACTGTTCACTGAATCCAGTTCCCAAAAAAGCAAACTAGTTCTCAGAACTGTGAGCTGTCACAGACCTCATTTTATTTGATTTTTGAATAAAGATGTATAACTTGTTTTTAATTGAAGCTGTAGATTTATCTTCAAAAAAGAAACGCCTAATTAAAATATTCAATCGTTAAGTGAAGTGTATATCGTGTTTGTTCTATGCATACTTCAGTGGTATATATATTTAATGACTCACAATAGATATCGGGTTTTAGTTAAAGTTTCAGTTCGAATGCACATGAAAAATGACTCAATGAAGAATCACTGGTGTGTTTCGTGTTCGTCAAATAGCAAAGATATAAAAAACAAATTTGTTGTTGTATATTGGTAAATGACATCACTCTTAATCATCATATTTATTCAAGACATATTAAATTATTTAAATATAAATGAGATCTGTCCTGTTGACGGATAAATGTTTAATGAAAAACTGAAATAAATAATATTTTCTTGTTATGAATTTTCTTTTTTATTGATCTGGACAAATATTTCCAATTGAATTTTAATTCCTGCCATTTGTGGACCGTTGAAGTAACACGTAAAGCGAAACATAAAATATTCGAAAATATAGAGACATAGATGTTTAGGTTTGATTGTTAAATAGTTCTTATTGGTTGTCCTACTTTTGACGTAAGACAATAACAATGGTAAGAATGCGTTGTTGTCGCGTTCCACTGCATAGAACACCTAAGTGGTATTGACAAAGCAAAAATTATTTCACAATAATCAAGAAATATCGTATTTTATCGCATCGCTGATTAACAACTACAGGTGCATAACAACGTAGCTGGTTGTATTCTTCTTAAAGAGAGAGATGACCAATATTGCAAAGAAAAGTGTTAACTATTTCAGTAAGATTTTCATCATGTGTCATCGTTTTTCGACCGATGATGTTTAGATTATTTCTTGGCTATTACTGTTGCGAAATTTTACTTCGATGGAATTACATACTGATAATCAAAACAGTTTCAAAATATTTTCTTCAGAAATCTGATTTTTGAATGAATCAACGAAGCTATTCAATCAAAATAGAGGTTAATCAAAATTGCTAAATCTTTTGGTACCAGGAGCTTTTTTCCAAGATTTTCTGCTATACTTTGTTTTTTCTTCATCTTGGCTTTTAGATACAAATTTAACCAACAAGAAAAATGATCTAGCGTCACAATATGATGTTACATTCCAAAAAGAGCAGAAGAAACATTCGCTAATCTGATTTGAACAATTTTGGGCTTATCTTAGCGGCGAAACTGTACCTCATTGACAAAAAATAGTTCTTCTTGCTTTTTCTGTATCAGTTTCAAAGGTCTTTTGTGAATCTATTTTTTAGTCATGTGAATCTTTTGTGAAATCATAACCACAATCAAATGAAAAATGATCTTGTTGACGCTGAATTAAAAATTAAGTTGAAGATTTATTTCATCTATACAAAAGTCTATGAATATCTCTTACAGAAACTAGAGTCATTGAACTAAAGTCAATCATCACAAAAATAGTATCATGTTGCAAAAGTGTCACACACGGTACACTTCATATCAGTTTAAAATTAAACGTCTTCTTCTACGAAGGAAAATGTAAGCTTTTCTTTAGAAAACGTCACTAAATTCTTTCTAGTTTTCGAATGAATCTCCTGGGTGTGGGTGTTAGTATGCGGCTGTGGGTGTGTGTGGGTGTGAGTATGTGGGGTTTCGGTATGGGTGTGGGCGGATGGTGTCGGCGTATGATGTGGGTATGGGTATGACTGTAGTTTTCCTCTACACCCACACCCACAGTTGTATGTGTCAAAAGTGTTGGCAAATCGATTCTGAGTTGGATGTGGGTGTGGGGAGAAGTTGAAAACTGGTCTACACCTCCAGGGCGGGTGTGGGTGTGGTGCTTAAGAGACACCCACACCCACACCCTCATATAGCCATTATAGGAATTATTCAGATGCTTTTGATATATATGTGTTTTTTCATAATGTTCATTTGTGCGATTTTTTGTTTTTCTATCTTCGTTGGTATCGTTTCTTACGTAAATTTATTATAAATAATTTCTTCTATATATCTGAAGAAGAAGAAGCAGAAAGATATCCAGCTCAAGTTATTATATTGAAACAAGAAGTAATATTGTCATTTACTTATGTATGTTTCACTTTAATGTATTTATGATTTAGATTGTCGAAGATCAATCATACTGTAACAAACATAACTGTTTTTTATGGATTGGTGAAAGCTTCATTAATTCCACTTACTCCTATGGTTATTTTTTCTGATTATATTGTTCATGGAAATCTCGAATACTTTTGTAATTACTATCAAATATATTACGGATTCACAATCATTTTCAAATCGCATGTCTTCATGTTACGACGTTATGCCGAATGGCAGCCCGGTTTTTTTATCAATCATACGAAACTGGCTTTATTGCCGTTATTTTGTTAGTTATTATCAAAATGGACTATCTCGTACAAATCTTTTGAATAGAAAACTAGCTTATCTCTTGTTCTTTACTTTGTTTTTTTCATGTTGCATATTGAATAGAATTAAAATAAATTAGATGACAATTACTTTGTCAACGAAAATTGCATATCTCCATTAGAATTTCACCGAATGAATTGGGTTTTGTACTATTGATAGAGGACACTTTCAAGTTTTATTTTATAAATTTAGTTTCTAAATACTTCTGAAAAGTGGCACTTTTAATCATCTAGGCCTTCTTCTCTTACTTTATAAACATTTATTTAACGCTTCCGAAAAACTTAGAACAATTAGTGCATTTCTTCAAAGCGATTTGTTTGTCGCTCGTCAAAAATTATAATGCAAACTGAACTGAATAAGCTGGTGCACTTTTAGAGCTTTCACATTCGCCAAAGGTGTGAGATCAATGCATCTATTTTATTTCAAATCTCAAAAAGTGTTTATATAACAAGCAAAGGACATGTAAGTTATTAAAAGCCTACAATAATAAAAAGAACGTGGTAAAAATTACAAAAAGCTTGTTAACGCAGTTGCAAAGAAGCTGAAACGTGAAACTCACGTATATTCTTCAGCTTCATTATATCAATATGAAATATAGGTAGTGTAACATCACGAATTTTTTAATTTTCCCTGAACTGAAAGCATAGGGTCTAGAAACGGAAATTCACCTGTGTCTGTCTGTAACACATGGTACAAATTACCATGGCCATGGTATAAACGACCACAGTCATAGTACTAATGATCACAGTCATGATACAAATGAATATAGTGATGTACGAATGACAATATCGAAGATAGAATTGATCATAAGTATAGTATCAAGTGTCATGTCCGAACGGTGATATGGTTGAGCTCCTAGTAGTTATGGTGCAAATGATATCATACATAAACATCAGTGTCAGAAAACAAGAGTTCATTACTTTCACGCTTTCCTTCAGAATGTAATAAAATACGAAAGTAAAATAGAAAAATTATATAAGGACGCTCATTATACATTCAATTTTATTATTTAAATATCCAATTAATATTAATCAAAAATTTCAGTCAATCATAATATTGCATTTATTTCATTTAAAAACAAAACTTCAACATACCTATGTTATTTTTCTAATTTAAAAATAACTCTTTTTTTCTCGAGTTTTCCCACTTGTCATCTTACTGAGCTTTTCCTGCAATCGGAATCTTATATTACCAAAATTTAGCATAGTAAACCAAGATATCGACCTTGAAAACTTACTTAATGTTCCTATAACTTTCATTTGATGCACAAGGTTTTCGTCGGTTTCATTTTCACTATCATATGACGATAGATTTTACGAGATTCTTCATTCAGATCATAATCTAATTCTATAATAATCGAATATTGAATGAAGATATTAATATGATTCAAAAATGACCTTTATTAATCACAGTTTCTTGTTGCTTATAGTTCTATTGAGAACAATTAAATCGTTTTCTTTCGTCATGATTGATAGGTTATTATAATACACATTATCTTGAAGCCTAACTTCTTTCCATTACTAATTGTCAGTAGATTTGTCTTCCGATCTGTATTTTATTGAAAGATTGTATAAATCATTTAAATAATAACAAAGAAATTGAAAAGAATAATTTTGTTCAAAATCAATAAACTAGCATACAGAGTAACTTTCGGTTTATTTGCATTGACCTTTAACACATGATCTTCGCTTATTAAAAACAGACTTCTGTAAAATAAATTGTTTTTTATGCACAAAAATGAGAGAAAGCTCATTTTATAGTATACTGTCAATACACTTACGAGGGAAGATCACCGACTGTTCAATCGCTGTTTGGTCAAGTTCTAGTGATTTATAGGTAATCGACCATGCTGATGCTGAATATCACCATGATTTGGGCAGATAGACCTTCAGTGCCTCGGTTTTACGACCAACAACCTTTTTGACGCGAAAATGGTTTTTTATCTGTCCAGATGAAAGGGCACATCGCAAAACCTATAAAAACATATTTGGTTCGTTTTTTTGAAG